AGGGGGGAGAAGGGGAGGGTGGGTATAAGAGTTGTCTCTTTGCCCAGGCTGCCCAACCGAGTGGTACAGGGGAAGCGCCTATAGAACTTGGGGGTGTGTTACAGAAGAGACCTCCTCAGCGTACCCCACTAGCAAACAAGGTTGTGTCCCTAAACCCAGAATCTAGGTCAAGATGGGTGGATCCTTGTGCCCTTCTGGCTCCCTGCCTGCTGGAAGAGCTGCAACACTGTGCAAGAAAGTCTAGGTCAGATGCTGCAGTCTCCAGTCTGGGTGACAATAACAAAGATTATACACTCAGGAGCACAGGGGAAAGATTCCCGGCCTCAGGAGGCCCCAGGAAAACAGGATTCTAATCTCAGGTGGACTTTCCCAACCACCTGGAGCCAGTTTTGCCTGCACCCCTCTGGGACTCAGTTTCCTGGGTGATGTTGGAGCTCCTGATTCTGATGGTCCATCTTTTTTGTCATCTGTCCCCACTGAAGCTGAGCCTGGCAGCCCCTGCAAAGACCCAGAGAGGGAGCCACGATGGGGCTCACTTCCCATGGAAGGAGCTGGGGAGGAAGAGCTTGCATCCCCGGGGCTGTATCAGCTGGGCACACGGCCAGACAGAGCCAGACTGTGCCCTGGGACTGGCTTCCCGGGCTGCCCCTGAGGAGATCGTGTTGGGGATAGTTATTAATAAACAAGTGGCAAGAAGCAGCCTGTGGCCTTGGGTTTGGCAAATAGATAAACCAAGTAAAGCTTAGTGAAAACCAGTCCTCCTGCAGCGGTCCTGGGTTTTGTCCTGTTCTCTGGCCCAGGCTGCCCCTGAGGCTGCAGCCTGAGCTGGCCCATTTGCAAATAGACATATTGCAACAAGAACCAGGTGAGTTTTCAGGATGTGTCATTGCTATGGTTTGGATATGGTTCGTCTCCGCCAAAACTCATGTTGAAACTTAATCCCCAATGTGTCAGTATTGAGGGCTGGGCCCTTTAAGGGGTGACTCTGCCCTCATGACCAAGTCACCTATTCGTGGATTAATGGGTTAATGGATTAATGGGTTAATGGATTAATGGGTTATCATGAGAGTGGACTGGTGGCTTTATAAGAAGAGGAAGAAAGACCTGAGCCAGCATGCTCAGCCCCCTTGCCATGTGATGCCCTGTGCCGTCTCGGGACTCTGCAGAGTCCCCACCAGCAACAAGGCCCTCACCAGATGTGCCTCTTGACTTTGGACTTCCCAGTCTTCAGAACTGTAAGAAATAAATTTAATTTCTGTATAAATTACTCAATTTCAGGTAGTCTAAGCACCAGAAAGCTGACTAAGATAGTCGTGCTTGCATTTCAGACTCCTGAATAGAATCTATTTGGGTCAGCCAAGGAGGCCCCTGGCCAGTTGGGCTATAGCTGTTTTTCTTTTTCTTTTCTGTTCCTCTACATGCATCAGTCCCCCCCAGGATGCCATGGTGATTGATGGGTAAAAATAATAAGCTTCTGAGCAGGAGGTCCCAGCCCGTCTTACACGGAGACGCATCACAGAGTCATCTATGTTCACAGTTTCTTCAGTTTGACTTATGTGTTTTTGTCAATGAAACCACCAATCCGTTACCCGTTTCTTTGTCATTTTTTTTTTTACTTGCTATTTCCCCTCATCTTCTACATTCTAATCCTGTAAATTCTGTCT